AAAAAAAAACTCAGTCAAATTTAGTTCTTATTACATTCTCTTTTTTTTTGATAGAAATGAATTTATGTGGTTCATCATGTCATAGTCGTGGTATATGTTCTAATGGTCAATGTGTTTGCTCAAATCGTACATATGTAGGAGATGATTGTGAAATGTGTCGTTTAACAGAAACAATTAATGTTGGTTGTTTTCATATTGGTAATGATTTACAACCATCTTGTATGTGTTATTTATCACGATCAAAAATTCGACAAACACCTTATTTATGTACAACACTTAAAAATGATCGTGGTGAAATCGGTAAATTCTTGTTATTGATGGGTTTTTTTTTTAATCTATTGTTTAAATTTTTTGTATGAATAGAAGTACCATGTGATCGTATTATTGCACCATTAAAACGTGAACTTTGTTCACGAAAACTTTTTCTTGATTCATCATGTGAAGGTACAACTTATTCATTAATATTTCATATTCGAACACAAAGTTGTATTTGTCGTGAAACAATGAATAGAAATAGAAATTGTCTTAATAATGGTCTTTTAATTATTAATGATAACGAAAATTTTACTACATGCTCGTAAGTATAATTTAGTTCTTGAATAGAAAATACATCGAATAAAGATATTAGTAAATTATTTGAATTTATCTCAAAAAGTCATATCTATGTAGGACACTACTCGAAACCCTATTAGGTTGAACCGCATGTTTTTTTCGAATTTTAGAAAAATCTCCCCTTTTTTACTTTGATCGCTATATGAAAAAACATAACAAGTATTTTTATGCAAAAAAAAGAAGAAATTTATTATTGTGATCACTCTAAATTACATCGAAAATTTTATTTCATTTAGAGTTAAGTGTTCGAGAATAATATTTTTTTAAATTTTTGTTTTATATTCTTAGATGTTCATTTCCATTCTTTGGTAATCAATGTGAATTAAATCAATGTATAAATTATTGTCAAAATAATGGTACTTGTTTAGTAAATGGAACCGAACTTTTTTGCAAGTAAGTCTATTATTCTCTTTAATAATATTTTTTTTTCTTTTGTTATTTTTTATTATAGTTGTTCAAATGGTTTTACAGGTGATAAATGTCAAAATAATATATGTCATTGTCAAAATAAAGGTATATGTTTTTTAGATAATAATAAACCAATATGTCGGTAAGTTTGATTTTTTTTTTTCAAAAAGAAATTCTTATCTATTATATTTAGTTGTCCACCTGGTTTTACTGGTCGTTATTGTCATATAGGAAGACAAGGATTTCGATTAAGTTTTTGGTTTTTAATTATTATTATTTGTACGATATTATCTATTATTGCTTGTATTTTACTTCGATATAATTCAAAATTATTTCGAATAAAATATTTATTTGCACATCGTCGTCTTCATGAACAAATTGGATTAGAAATTAATTCTATAAATGCAACTTATTCTCATGTACCAACAAGTGATAGAAATATTTATGATCGACCATTAGAAGATGTTTTATTCGATGAAAATGATATATCTGAATTGGGAATGACAAATACTCAGATAGACAATGGAACAGATGAATTTATGGATGATCCATTTTATGTTGATGAAAAACAACCAATATTTAGTCATGATCGAAATTTAAATACAAAATCAAATATTCGTTCAACACATATAGGAACTTTATAAGAATATATCGAATTTAACCGGTGTTTATATTGTATTGACTTTTATTATAAATATCTAGTCTATTGTATTAAAAAAGAAAAGTGTTTTAAATGCTAATGCATTTTCTGTATTATATAAATGAAAAAAAAACAAACAAATAAAAATACTAATTTATTACAGTAAAATCATTTAAATGATATTGTCATTTTTTTTAGAATATAATAAATATTTAACAGTAGGGAATTTATTTCGTACAGTTTTACACATATATGTCAAACTTGAAAGTTGAATGTTGAAATCTGAAAAGATGGATTTCAAGTTTCAATTTTCAAACACACACACACACTCACTCTTTCGATCAGAGTGCCACAAAAACACACATGACATCTATCTCGATGTGGGTGTCACGGAAAGCCATTCACGGATGTCAAGATGAGGTTGGGATCGAAGTGAAGTTAGTCGAGGTTGAGTAAGAATAGAACGTGATTTAAATATTTGTAATATTTTTATGATTTTAAAGGAGATGAGGAAGGTGATATGATAAACCATATAGACGATTGAAACTCCAAACTTGAAGAGTAATTGTTCAATTGAGGTCAACTTTCAAGCTTTACACTACTGTTTTTTTTATTTCAATATATTCCATGAGGATGCTCATATACATTCCAAGCTAGGTAAGTGAAGGAAGTCTTCAAACAGAGACATTACAAACAAGCTCAGTATAGAAGATTTATTCTTTTATACATGTTCTCCCTAATCTATAGTATTTTTTAAGCAAGTGTTCTACCATAAGTGTAGATATACATCACAATTGATATTTTCTGGAAGGAGAAGTGGTCTTCCGATGTCATCCTCCGCCCTCACTTTCATGGACTGCTATGCCATCTATCAAAATTGAAAAAAGTACCTATTCGCTTCAGAAAATATTAGCTACATATACTTCTGCATTCGTAATGGAATTTTTCTTTCGATTGTGCAATTAATTTCACATACGATTTATTAGTGGACATTCTCAATCAATTGCATGATTTGCTGACTTTTTTTGCTACGAGTCGTAAGAAAGTTTTACAACATACTCAAGATAACATTTCCTTATCAGAGAAGCAGATAAAAACATAAATTTTATGTTGGAAACTTTGATATAAGAAAAAGATGCATTTTTATGATTTCTATTTTTATCATCTTAGTTGACAGTGTTCTTCAAGGTCCCAGATCAGTCATGCTCATTGTACACGGTTGTATACCGATCAATGACGATAGAAGAAGGCAGTTGTTGACAGTGACCGTTTACAACAATTGTAAATGATTCTTTATGGTGTATTATGGTTATCATAAACAATGATCATAGAAAATTGTCGTTAATGATTAACGCAACAATGCGCCAACTGTAAACGCTGTTCGAATAATATCATAAGGCATTGTATGTGTCAACTGTAAACGGTTTAATAAACAACCGTCGTTTTCTATCGCGCTTCGTCGTTAGCATTAGCGATCTGTTCTTATTGAATACAAACAATATGTGCACATGGCCAGCTATAGACCATACTATGTAACAATATTTGCTTATCAACAAAGTCGGGAGACAGTAGTCAGTTGCGCTTGGCACAAGATTTTCATGGGTGTTTTGTACGTTTCCCATGTAAAAATTTTTGCCTTTGTAAGCTATTTTTAAGTGACTTAAATAAGCTTACACTTCAATTAAGTGCTTTAAACCGCTTAAACATTGCGGTCTTAAGCTGCTGAAAGCGGCTTCAACTAATTAAGCCGCTTAATATAGCTTACAATGCGCTTTGAGAAGCGCTTTCCAGCGTTTATCACGAAAAGTGCTGAAAAGCGCTGTAGATTTTTATTCTTCTAAGCGCTTTTCAGCACTTATCATGGAAAAACCTGAAACCTATGTGAAAATTTTTGCCTCTGTAAGCTATTTCTCAGCAGCTTAAAAACCTAACCCTACAGTAAGCTACTGTAAAGCGCCGAAGTACATCGATTTTAAACTTCTGAAAATTACTTCGCTAAGAAAAGTCGCTTAAAGTAGCTTAGAAAACGATTTTTCAAGTATTCTAAGCTCTTATCATGAAAATCGCTAATAAGTATTGCGACTTTTGTTACTTTTAAGAATTTTACACCACTTTACATGGAAATCGCTGAAAGTACTTCATTTTTTCTTATATTTAAACGCTTGACATTACTTACATTAAAAAGTACTGAGATAGGTCAGTAACTCCTTCAGAAGGCGAGTTAGAGCAAGTATTGATTGCCAATTTACCTTACTTCCCGGAATATTTTTTTTGTTTTTTCTGATTAGAAAATGTTCACAAAATGAGTCGATATCACTGTTATTGAACTTCGAAACACTTTTTTTTAATCACGATCAGCTTTTTCTCAACGTCCTACGTATACTACTGCGGTCTTATAGTTTTCTCAAATTTGAGTCCTATAAGTTGTTACAATATTTGCTTGCGCGCACTGTAGTTAAGAACATTTTTAATCACGGTAAAGTTGGAGTAACATCTGCTTCAGATTTCACTGGATACACGCAGATCAACACTCTAACATGAAGCATATCACTTGCTCTAACCTAACTTAGCCATAATGTTTACCAATCGCGAAGAATTCGTTACATTATTCACTATCAAAGCGGTTCGAAGATGCCAGATCTTCCAATATGCCAGCAAAAATTCAGAATTTTTAGTTTTTTATGAATACCTTTCGATTTACTCATTATTTTTTTACTTTTGAGAATTTTTTCAATTTCAAGCCTTTTTCAGTCTGAATGAAATTGAAATATAATTATTTATTATGTGAACACTTGGGGGTGTCGGCACATTTTTCGATTTTTCCAATGAAATAGGAGATGATTTAAGAAGTGTTGGGGACGATTGTCTTCCGTGTAAAAGTTTATTCTCAGTTTCTTCTAGTAGAATAAGCTTAAAAATGAGCTTTTACTACCTCTTATGATCTTCAAAACACGTTCTATGATCATGATCGCCTCTAATTTCCATTCAATTGCCGCACAAGCTAAAACCCTAGATCCCCTATCGAGAGAGATTCCAATTTCTTAACTTGTTTCTAGTCCTTTTCTTAACTTTTAAACTCTTTTTCAGTTTGTTGCAATTTTTTCTTTTATGTCAGCTTTTTAAAATCTGCGAATGTATGTTTTTTTACTCCTTTTTCAGTGAAGTTTGCTCAGGATTTTTCTGATAAAGAATCAATCCGAACTAAATAACTTTCTTCAGTTCTTCCTACGAATGGAACTGTATATTTATCTATACTATTTTTGTCAATTATTTGTATCTTAAAGTACATTTTAAGACAATGTATATCAATCAGTAGAAACAGTAAGGAAGTTTATTAGAACAAAAAGATAACATCGATTCGTTCATAAAAAGCAGTACCCAGTTTTTTCCGATTTTAACTTTTCCATTTGGAATCTTCGCCACTATTGCATATTAAATCACTCAGTTCAGCATTGCTGTTGGCTTATATTTTTGTCATTGTTCAGTGCGATATTTTATGAACATACAACGATAGAACAGAATGAAAGAATAACTCAATGGTCGTTTAATATAATGATAATGTAGTGATCATTTGAAAAGGAAATCTAAGGAACTGACAATACACCAAATAGTAATTTTATCATTAATCCCTCATACGTATGTACAGAAGGTAAGTCTCGTTTATTTATTTTTTGTTAAGTGATTTATAAAAGAGGCTTTACTCATTGAATTTCTGATATACGTCTTGAGAAATAGTGAAGAGTAATAGTTATCTTTTGTTACATACAAGTATTTGTGAGTCGTATTTTCAAAAATTTTTCTGAGGGTCCAATTTCTTGCTACATAAATTTGAGATATTATGTCTCTTTCATTAATTCGCTTGTGTTGTTTTACATAGCTTTTCTGAATTTAGTTCTTCATACTTTTTTTTGTTGACATGGTGAAAATTTTTAATTAAAAAGAGTGATTGACACCATTTTTATCACTTTGTTTTACAACATTTCGCTGGTATCTTACAGTATCACCAGTCATAAAGGAAAGACATAGATAGCAAACAAAAGAAAGTTAAAAGTGAATATTACAAGACAACAAGATTAAAATAGAAATTATATTCATACGATGCTTCCTTGCAACTTTTTATTTCTTCCTATTATGACTGATGATGTTGTGAATTAATAATGAAACATCTTAATAGAACTCACTGCAGCAATGTCAACTATTCTCTTATTTTTATTAGTGTTTCTTTTTTTTATTTTTGTGGAGAAATTCTTCCGTTTACCTTTTCTTTAACTAAACATTTATTCTTTTTCCAAGTAGTGACGTTGAATGTTTAAGTATGCGGCGATATAGAATAGTTTTGATAAGAGGTTTGTTCACAATAAGCTAAAGTTTTTTTTATATTAAACAGTGACTGTGAGTGCCTTGCATTTTATTCTACATCCTAGCATAGCGTCAGTTTAGATTAATTTCTGTAGAAAGTGTTGAGAACGAAACTTACTAGTCAAGAATACTATAACAGTAAAGTGAAGTATATTAGGCGAATTAATTACTGTCGAGCATGAGACCAGGCGTTTAACAGTTAGACACTATTTTCTCTGTTTAGATATTGAGTCGTAAATAGATCTTGCACCACTTACGAGCTAATATTTGTTGTTGATCTCATTCTATTGCCATAATTTAGTGTCTATATATAGAGGACTTCTAAAATAAAATGATATTCAAAAGAGTTCAATTAGTTTCCAATGATTAATCTAGATAATATTGTTATACTCGTATTCTTCTGCGCAAGTAATTTTTGAAAAACAAAAAGCATTTTTGAATTTCAAACCGTAGCTACAGAGTTACGGTTCGAAATTCAAAAATTTTTTTTTCGAAAATTGCCTGTTCAGAAGGATATGAGTATCAAACTATTATCTAGAATAATTAGTGGGAACTAATCGAACTCTTTTGGATAGCATTTTATTTTAGAAGTCCTCTATATATAGACACTAAATTATGCCAATACAATGGAGTTAATAATGAATA